TTCTTTTTTCTTTTCTTTTTTTTCGTTTTTTGGTTGATCCGACGTCACTGGTTTCCCGTTGCGAGGTTTCCATGTCGTTCCATCCCGTCAACCTGTGTCGTTATTCCTGCGCGGACCTTGTGTTGCGTTCCCGACACGATGCCAACGTGTGCTGTGAGTGGTGCACGGTGTTGTCAGTGTGGTATGACGACAGACGACAGCCGACAGAACAAAAAGACAGCGGAACTGGCACCGGCCGCTTTTTCTCCACTGATCGTCGTCCAGTCGTCTAGTCCAGTCGGTTTCGTGCTCGCTATTGGATTAAAGGCTTTTCATTCCCAGGAAAATCAATTTGCTAACTCCGGTTTTTCGTGTTCGTCTCCGTTTTCAGTTGGCTGAGTTCGGCTCATGGATACATCATTAGTAGCGACTTGTTGGTTGAGAGACAGTTGGTGAGTTTTTTTTCCTAGAAGTGAAGAGGGAAAAGAAGAAGAAGAAGAAGAAGAAGAAGAAGAAGAAGAAGAAGAAGAAGAAGTGCTGACCTCTACCAGAGTCCGGAAGCTGAGCCGCCTTATCCTGATAATGCGGATTTGGTTGAGAGTAAGTTTTTCGTTTTTGTTGGAAGGAGTCATTGTTTACAATGCCCCCTTTTTTTTTTTTTGGTTGCACAGTGTCAACATCACGGCTGTCTCTGTGTCAACCCTCCATCCGTCCCCTTTGGTCATCCTTCCAAGTCAACACCACAGCCAACCTCATCACCATCGCCATCACCATCACCATCACCATCACCATCACCATCACCATCACCATCACCATCACCATCATCAACCCAGCCCTATCCCCTTTCCACCCTTTCCACCCTTTCCACCCTTTCCACCCTTTCCACCCTTTCCACCCTTTCCACCCCTTCCTTCTTCCCAACCTAACTTCCGTCCGACTAACACCCCTCAAGTAACAGAAATAGCCCTAACCCGCCTCTGCTACATCAAATCCTCCATCCTGCGTCTCCGCGCCTCCAACCGCGACCTAACTCCTCACTCAATCCGCCACGTCCTTCTTTCGTTACGACACTGGTACCACACTTTACCTTCGACAATCCAGCTCAACTTCCACAACCTCAATCACTTTTCACCCTCGGGCTCGCCCTTCCCCGGCCACCTTCCCTCTTCCTCTTCCTCTTCGAGCATCCCCTCTTCCTCCTCAGCCCCCTCCTCAAGCCTCCTAGAAACCCACCGGTCCATCCACCACATCCACATTCTCTACTCCGACTCCATCACCCTTTTATACCGCTGGCTGATCAGCCAAAGCATCACCTGCCGCCTACACGGGAACCACGAAGGTCATCACGCTTTGGACACCCCCCTGCGAGAATTACTGCTTGAACACGCTGATGATGCCATCCGCGTCGCCGGACTAAGCGCCGTGGTGCTGAGGCGGATGATTCATAATGATGAAGAGATTCTGATGCCGTGCTGGACGGCCGGGTTTCAGGCTTATACTTCTTGCGCGGTTTTGCTGTGGAGTGTGGTAGGGAAGATGGTTAATTGTGTTGGTGTGCATGGTGCTGGTTCTCGTGGACATGGAGGGGCAGGGGGATATGCAGGGGAAAAAGACTGGGATTCTTTTCAGGATAGTTACTCCTGGCACGGCGAACTGGAGCGCGTGCGCGACTGCTTGGTTGTCTTGGAACTCTGTGCCAGACTAGGAGGAGGAAGAGATGGTGCAGAGAGGTGGTGGCGCCGAATGCGCGTTCTCTTGACGGTGGTTGAGAACTCGGCGACTTATCGCGCTTGGGAACAGCAGCAACAGCAGCGGGAACGTGGTTACCACCAGACTCAAGGCCAGAACCAGCACGGGAACCACGGGAATCGACAGCAACAACATCAACCCCGACCACCCCTAGCGCTCGAACGGCAAGACCGAAGCTATCTTCTCACCCTCCCACCAGCGCCTCCACACCCGCACGCCACAGAAAAGCCCGTCGACTATGCTCTCGCAAGAGTGTCAGTCTCCCTCATCCTCCTCCTGCACCAAAGTTTCGGCGCCCCAGGGAGTCAAAAGCTGGAAGCCGTTGGTGACGAGGAGTTCGCCGTGGGAGACTGGGGGTCGCATTCGCGGAGGGGCAGCATTACTGGCACTGCCGCCTCTACTACTGCTGCTGCATCTGCTGCTGTCGAGGCCAATGGGAATGGGAATGCGAATGCCAATGGCAGCAATGGTGCCAACAACAACAACAACAACAACTTGAATGTCAATGCCAATAGCAATGTCAACGTTAACGTCAATGGCTCGCTATTGGACTTGGAAAGCGAACAAGCCCGGATTTTGGAGTGGCTAGGGTGGAATTTGCCTCCTGTTTCTGCTACGTGTAGTGGACAGGGGCAGGGGATCAATGGCAATAGGATGGGGGGTATGGCGAATGTAAACGTGCCTGTGCCTGTTCCTGTTGATCCCGGATTATCTGGGGGCCAGGGCGGTTATCAGGGTCAGTATCAGGGGATGAATCAGGGGATGAATAACCACAACCACAACCACAACCAAGGACAAGGTGGCCAGGGACATGATCGTCGTGGTAGTTCTGGTGGAGGATATCAACATGGTCATCAGCAGGGGAGTATGGGGATAGGGATGATGAGGATGGATTTGGGGAGGTAGTGCAGTTGAGCCTGTGAATTCAATCGAATCTGCAAAGATGGAAGTTACCTCTAAAGCTGGCGTATTCCGGTTGTTGGGGTGCTGTGTTGTGCATCGTGTAAGGTAATCACCTGGCATGACACTCTGGCAGTGATGAGACTGGAAGCAAGAGTGATCATTGAGCCTTCAATGCATCCTTGTCAGTTGTCGTGGACGATGTGGGTCTCGACTGGTTGTCAGGATGTTATTTCATTTGACATTCTGCGTCGAGCTCTGTATGGCCAGTGATGAGCAAACAAGAGCGGCTTTTGATGGTACCTGGTTGAACAAACGATTTCGAGATTTCGCTATTGATTTCACTACGAAAGGTAGGTAAACACGGTGGAACAGAATCGGAATCAACAAATAATATGGCAAGTTCAAAAGCAAGAGATACCTTATATGTAGATAAGCCTTCCAGCACCAAGATCTACCATGAACCAACGCAGCCCCCGAACCCAGGTCATCAAATTGTTGCCCGACTGTTCTGTGGTATGGATGTTCTGCGTCGAGCTACTTACTGTCAGACGAATGCAAGGGCGACTGTTGTAATCTTTCGATTTCAGATCTCGACGTTGAATCATGTCAAGCAAGAAAGACAAGAATACCTACCTCTAACACGACTACCCCCATATCGACACACAGAACAACGTCAATGAAGCAGGAGCCTTGGATATGCGCTCTCTAGTAAACCAACCAGCATCTATTCTACCATGACCATAAGCCAATCCCCAACCTCAGTCCTGAACCCCCGTCAGTACGCCTTCCAGTCTTCCAGAGTCCCAGCTCCATGCATGTACCTTCCTACCCAACCGTTTATCCCAATGTTCTATTAACTCATACACTAATCGTCCTCCACGTGAATCATCCATCAATGCTACATACCTACTGTCCCTGCCAGATAAATTTACCTCCCTTATTCCTACCCTCCCTTCTGCCCCTGCTGCCAGTTCACCTTCCCTGTCCCCACCCTCCCTGCCCCTGGTGCTGGTGCTGGTGCTGGTGTCCATGATGTCCCTGTGTATGTTGTACATGTCCCTGCGTCTGCCCCCAAAACATCGCCGCACCCAAGGCCACACCAGAATTCTCCTCCGGTGAGCTTACCGGCCATCCATCCGTCGCCGCCCATTGCTGCCCGGGCTGTGCCTGCATCTGCTGTTGTCCATACCCTTGATGCTGTTGACTCTGAGCCTGACCATGATACCCACCATATTGCATCCCTTGTGTAGTTGGCAAAGTCATGTCAACATCGACATCAAATTCGAGTTCATAATCCTCATACTCCGAGTCTGTAGTCGGAAACGGAGATCCGGCTGCCGAAGCTGATAGCAGATACGGGTTTGGTGGGCTTGACAGGCCTGCGTGTGATGTTTGAGAAGTAGTGGTAGAAGCAGGCAAAACACCCCCATTAACAGCGAAGGATACCCACTTCCCCAGGACCAAAGGATAAAAGGCAGAAGGGGTGGAAAGCAGAGACTGAATCCTTCCGTCTGTGGGTGCGAGGGTTCCTGTTGTCAGAGAAGAAGTCTCGGTGACGGCGTCTGCAACCGCCAACAGCAACGCCATGAAATCGGGCCTGACGACTACCCCCAAGAGCGCCACCTGTTCCCTGATGCTATCTGATAGCCCGAGCGCTTGCACGCCGGGGAAGGTTGAAGTCGAGTTCAAGGCAGAGCAGAGTTGGAAGAGCAGGGAGGAGAAGTAGGACAGGTGCATCGTCAGGATTGGTGTTGGCAAAGCTGTTAGCCTTGCGTTTCCGCCGAGGATGGTGGTCTGCCATGTGCCCAAGAAAGGCTGAAAGGTGGTCGCTGCTGTTGGTGCACCGGAAGTAAAATGGATGCCCAATGCGGAAGCATAGGGGTGCGTGAGGACGGTGGGTGGGTGAGTGAGTAGTGGCTCGTGGAGACGGAGGAAGGCGGTTTTGAGGTGGGAGGCTATGAGGGCTGGTGTGGTTGTTAGCCGATGTCTTATATGTCTTCTGGGGTAGAAGGAAGGAGTGGTGGAAGGGTTGGGCTCGGACTGAACCTCGGACTTGTCGCTGGGGTGACACTGATGCAGGTCCGAGATACTAGTGCAGCACTCAGGGGCAAGTAAACAACAGCGAGGACTTACGATTATGCACCAACTCAGCCGATCCGCGATTCAACAGCTCCGACTCATTCCTCAAACCAGCAATCCTTGCAACTCTTGCTTCATCTTCTGCCCGGTTCAAAGTCGGTAAAGAGGCCAGTAGCTCGTCATTAAGTCTCGCGATCCGTTCTTCCAGGCGCTGAATCTTGACGGCTTGGACAAGGACTCGATCGGAGTGTTGGCTGGACATTTCGATATCGTTGAGGCACTGAAGCATGTAAGGCGTGAAGACTGTTGGCGAGGGCTGGGAGAGATGTGTGGCGGCACTGTGTGATTTTTACCTGTTAGCAGTTGTTCTTTCCGATTCCTGTTCCTTGCGCTTCCCTCCATTTGATCCTCAACAGCAACAGAGATCCATGGGAACTTACCATGACCGCAAATACCACACACCAAGCAGTAACCTCTTCTCATCATCGGTTACTCTTTCCTCTTCTTCTTGCGCCAGCCTCGAGTTGCGGTTGAGTCCCAACTCCCCAACCAGCGCTTCGGCTACCGCCAGTAGACTGTTGAATCTCCCTCCATGCCTCGCGCACCACCACCTCCACCGTCCCAGAACTACCACAACAGCCATTAGTGTCTCGAGACTTCCGTCTCCCCTTAGCAGTACCGTGTTCGAGACCTGGTTGACTAACTGATATACTTGTCTTCGCAATGTCGACTCGGGGATTTTGGAGGTGTCGGAGCTTGTCTGTGTGGTAGCGGCAGCAATCCTGATAGCAGACATGAGTAGCGGTCTCTCCACCGCCAACGCCTGGCTGTTGACATTGCTTGGCACGAGTATAAAGGGGAAGGTAGGTTGAATATGAACGAAGAAGGTTTGCAGCGCGTCTTCATCAGCGGTCGGATTTGATGGCGACCGCGGGCGATTCAAATTGTCGACAGGAGGGACGGATGTCCGAGGAACTGACGGAGGCGGGGAGAAGGTCACAGATAGGGAGGGAGAGGATGTGTTGGAACGTGAAGGACCATGTTGGAAATGACTTTCAGCGGCGATATCGTGGTTTGAGGCCGAGACGGATGAGGTAAAGCTGGCAATCGATGTATTGGATGGTGGTAAAAGGGAGCCGCAGGTGTCACCACAGGGAGAAGAAGAGGTTGATTGTTTTCTGCTGAGAGCAGGGAAAAAGAAGATGTTAGAGAGCACCGAGAGATGATGATGGCAAAAGGAACTGGGAACAAACCTTCCCGCCCTGGACTGTCTTGGCTTCCTGGGCCTTTGCACCTGTTCCGTACAGGTCTTGAGCAACCGCTCGCATCTGTCGCATTTGGATCCTGGAATCTCGGACTGTCGAGAGCACTTTGCTTTGGCTGCGGCGCATTGAGCACAGGCCGTCCCCCACTTTGTTGTCTGAATCGACTTTGCCTTGTTCATTGTTGCTGTTGAGAGACTCTCAGCAATGTCGCGATTTGGGTGTTGTGGAAAACGTGAATAATGCCAAGCTGTGTAGCGTTGTAGGTGTGGATGTTGTTGATGAACTTGTTCTCAAGATGGCTTGAAGATTTCATTATCTTGTCACCGTTTGTGGACGAGATGATCGTCGAGATATATACCTCGATACTGAGTCAAGAGCTGAGTCCATCATTGTCAGTCAATAGCTTTGTCGGCCTCCCAGGCAATGATATCACACAAGATAACTCCAGTCTCCAGTCTTTGAGACTGTGTGGTTCCCCGGGCGGAGGAACAAGGACCCCTGTAGCCGGAGATAGGGCTGAACTAGTTGCAGGTGTATGGTCAATGCTTTCCGCTCTTTCGGAGGCCCATTGACCGTATTGGGGGCCCCAGGTCGTGGACTTGGGGCTCCAGGCGTGGACTGAGTGGTGACATGGCAAAGAGCTGCAGTGGAGAGACTGAACACGGGACAAGAGAAAAAAGGGGGTTACCATTGCACCACTGCACTGCAGGCGCAGAAAGTCACAAGAAAGTCACGCACTCTGCTGTCTCCTACTGTCCACCCTGGCCCGCCCTGTTTGTTGCTTTTCTTCTGGAAGAAGTCTTGCCCTACCGCCCGGCACGGCGGGACGAGACCCGCCATACACCAGTGAGAAGCCAAGCAGCCAGTAAACATCCCCTGAAGTGTTTCCTGTTGCTTATCGCGCTTAACCTACTCCAGACGCAGGTGACTGTAGCCAAGACATACTTGCCGTCTGCCTGTCACTGGTCCAGGTAGCGAGGAAAGTCCCCAGTGTCCGTTGCAACCAGGCCATCAGGCAGCAAATTAGGCCTCCGAAAGGGGCTTGAAGCCTGTTAGACAGCAGCAGATAGCAAGTGAAAAACACCAACGGAGAAATTCCGCGCTTGATGATGCCTCTGGAAGGACTGGGATGTCTCCAACAATCTTCAAACAAGCGAGATGGAAGGGTAGGGACGGAGTTAGGTACCCGCGACAACAACCACTAGGCCTGTGGTTGTCACAGGTAAAAGATGATTCGTCGAGTTACCGGGGACCTCTTGCCTTGGACCCTCTTGGCTTCCAGTCCAGAGGTTGCTTTATTGATCCGGCACTGGAATCTGTGAGCAAGTGGAAGCCTCTCAGTGGATCAAGTCCGCTCTCGGCTATGGGTTTACCGTTTTTTTTTTTTTGCTGTCAAACATGCGGCGATGGGATCGTGCACTGCTTGGTGGTGTTGATCACCGCTTGGTGAAATGGCCCGAACGGAGAGGCCTCGCTGGGGGTCTGGAGTTCGGCATGATCGCTTGGCCACTTGGCGATGCTGGCGGGGACATGTCTAGAGGAGAAAGTTGGAGATGGTCGCCGAGCTGGCGGTTAGTGTCCCTGTCGTGAGTCGTCCCCGATGTACTAGCTATCGAAGAGTTGCGGAGATGAGAAAGTCATGACTCGCGGTTGAGGTCTCGTTGGCGCGTTTGTTGACAACAGCACTTTGACAGTCTCTTCGAATTTCAAACCTCTACTGGTCAGAGTCCGGTTAAGGTTGGTTTGAGTGCTAATGTCTCTTCCATGATTGTCAGAGGAGGTAACTGCAAGCTCATCACTGCGGCAGTCTTCCCCTGAGAGTGGCTTTGCAGTACATACGAACCTTATCTCAATGACAGCATTGCCGTCCGTATTCCACAATTTACAGTGTCGTGTCAGAGCACCGTGACTTGAGTATCACAAAGGTGGTGTGAAGGTCCCTGAGTGACATTGACATGCACAGTGTCAGCCCCTAGCCCTATAGGGCCCATAGGGCTATGGCATGCATGGGTGCCATCACTTTGACCGTAGAGCACCCAGTGTCATTTTCCGTCTTGAGCACTCTTGAACGCTCAGTGGTCGAAAAACGGCGGGTCTTCCCTGTATTTTTCTGAAGTTGTGGTCCCGCAAATGGGAAAAAGAGTCCCACTGTTAGGTACACCGCTTCGAATCTTTCAGTGTCCCATCCGCTTAAACTAGGGCGATGCTGGCTTGCCGCACCTATGCACACCGGCTAGGGACTTGTGGGGAGAACATTGAAGCCAAGAGAAAGCCGTGAGCCGTTCCCGGTTTCGTCAAGTTGTCAAGGTCGTCACGGTGGTTGAAGTCGATCGTGCTCTGCTGCATCAGGCCATGGATTATGGTTCCCTTCCCTTGTATGCTGTGTAACTCGAATGTGGTTGCCTCAATCCTTTTTGTTTCCTCGGGTCCGCCGATGGTGTGGTTCTTCCGTTCAAGGTGACAATGCCAGCAGGCTTCAAAATTAGTTGAGACCAAGAGCGTCTCATTCGTTGCCGAACGGAACATGGGCCTGGGATTCCATGGTGACAAGATGACCTTGAAGGTCACGAACTGAGTGACACTTCTCTGCCAACTGATATGTTTCCAACGGTCGGATTCATCACCAACATTCCGGTCCGGGGAGGGCTCCGCTCGTCGATTTTTACGAAGATGTGATATGGCCCGATGCACCAGAACTGGCAGGTTGGTCAGACGGAACGACGGATTGAGATGACGACGGGGTCAGATAGGATGAGGTAGTTGACGAAAGTGTCCATGGTTTTTTTCGGCAGATGAATTATCAGCCCAGCTAGGCTTCAGCGAACCAACGAGACGCTGGAGGATTGTCGCTAAGAGGGGAGGCTATCCCCAAAACAGGTGGTGCATTTAGGGGCGCAGCGGTTGATGCCAAGTCTTAGAATCCTTGGTGAAAGAGAAGAAAGGGCCTTGGGAGTATGTATCGATTGGAGACAGAATCTAGGTTGCGGCTTAACGTTTTGGAGTTTCTGAAGTGATGAAACACGAGATATTGTAACGGTTGTGGGTTCAATGTAATGTGAGGAAAGGTTGTGTGATGTTGATGACTTGGGCGTAAGAAGACGATGTCGCACAACAGTGACATGGTGACACTGGCCAAGAGATGGAGACCTTGGAAAGAGGCTCAGTCATGCTTGGCTCCCGCCTTTTGACTGTCGGGTTTCCTTCACCTCAACCGTCCGGTTTGGTCTTTCCATGTTTTCGGTGTCGCCGGTGATTTTGTGGCTCGAGAAGGAAGGGGCAGAAAAGACGTTTGTAAGTCATATATCCTGAAGATGGCAGTTGCAGGCAAAAAAACGCGGGCTTCCTTCACTAACATGATCCAGAGTCTGGTCCCCGGCTTCCTGCGCACTTTCCGTTGTTGGATCGGTTCGATCATGAAGGGGAAGCTGCCGTCATTATTTGTTGAGACTCTTCACCCCGTTCTGGTGCTGGATCCAATTTCTCATTTCTTTCCCTTCCCTTCTTCAAGAACATGCTCGCAGGACTCACTGCTTGTTCTTCTCCAACCTCCAAACCATGCTCGTCAGCGGCTGACCATAGCAATCATATGTCTCCAGCTCCTCAAACCCGCAAACCTTATAAAGTGGCTTTCCGGCCTCGGTAGCAGTCAAGTACGCATCTCTTCCCTCCTTCCTCGCAAGCTCCAGACCCCAGTTGACCAACTTCTTGCCGATTCCCCTCCTGTGCTGCTTGGGATCAACGCCGATCAAGATGGCATCTGCTCATCACCTCGTCAGTAGACGTACACCCTTGTCACCTTCTTCCCATCTCAAAACATCATGTTTTCAATAGCAGTACTCACACCAATAATCCTCATGCCCCCTCTCCCCCAACGCCTCCACATCCTTCCTCGTAAACTTCTCCACCACCTTGAGAAACATATCCCTATCAAACGTCGCCGGCCTGACCTCGACACCCAGCACCTCGGGCTCTTCAGGCCCAGGCTTCTGCCAGTGCGCGAACCCCAGCACCCCGGTCTCCTCGCCGGTGGCATCGTCGACCTCAACGGCCAACACGCACGGCTTGTCCTCGCGCAGCCGCTTGATGGCCATGGATGTGCGCCATGTGATCTCGTCGGCGACCAGGTCGGCTTCGGTGATGGTTGCGGTCGCCAGGTGTGAGCGCGGGAAGATGAGCGGGGAGAGGGTGTTGGCGAAGGCGGCGGCGCCGATGCGGGCGATGGAGGGAGCGTCGGCCTCGGTGGCGGGGCGGAGGGTGATTGTCATTTAGGCGGGTTTTGCTTCAGGGTGTGGCTGTTGTGGTGAATAGGTAGGTGAGTTTACCGAGGTGAAGTGAGTGAAATGAGTACTAGTGAGAAGAGGAACCACGATATTCAATATCGGGGCGGATAAGGTAAGGTAATGTGAAAGTCGGCGATGACGGTGTCGGTGTCAGTAGGTGGATTTATCCTTGACTTGACTCCGTTCCGGGTTTCCGGCCTGCCCGGGTCCCGGCCCTCAAGGGCTTGGCCGGCGGAGTCATCGGCTCCCAGGACTGAACTTGACACCTGGCATCGACCCATCGTGCCATGGTCAGGAATTTTGCGTGTGTGCTTCCATCGCTTGGCTTGGCTCGATTTGGTATAAGGTAATGCCAATACCTAACCGCGGATGGAGCCCCTCCTGTAGCGCTTATGGTTGCCAGTGGTCGCCAGTGGTCAGCGCTGGAGAGGCCTGGAAGTAACTGGATTGCACAGCCCCAATCACTTCTGGACACAGTCGGGGGGCTCATCGTTCCCGGCCTTCGCGATCCACTGCTTCCGCCCGGACGAGACGGGGAGTTCCATGCCGGCCCGGGTCAAGATAGGAGGTCCACATCGCCGATGCCAACAAGATACCTGAAAAGGCAGGCAAACGACAGTGGGTGCAGCAAGAAACGAGACGATGTTGCGAGTGTCTATCATGAAAAGTTCAAGAGGCCCAGCGCTACGAAAAAACTCTTATCACGACCCACGGTGATGCGGCCAGCACAATGTATGAGTTGATCGGGAGATAAAGTCAGGAGAAAAGTAAACAAACAAGCACCGAGGGTTGGCAGACACAGGGGCCCGCTTTGGCAACATGAATCCTTGTCCATCAATCGGGACCTCCACCCGCACTTTTCGTTCGCTTGAGATGCGCTGGGAAATTGTTAGTGACTCTTCTGAGGCTCATGAGAGTCGAGCACCGATATCTCACGGAACATGGAGGGGATATTTACAATAAGGGCATAATATTATCATTGAAGCCAGAATATACGCCCTATAGTCCCTTATAGTGTCGACAGACTCGACGGGCATCAAGAATTTCCGATATGTTGATCGGGCAATGGAAGACTTGACCATCTTCCGCATAATAGCGAAGTCAAACTCCTGGCGGTTGGCCCCAGCTTTCCATGACCCTCGGCTGCCCCCCCCTGGGGCAAGCATTGTCGAATAAACGTGCAAGGAGGCAGAAGGCTCCACCCATCAACATGCGCTGTAAAATTGTTAGTGACCCTTCTGAAGCAAAACGTTCAATCTTCACAGACCAACATCCAAACTTCCGCCCGATCAACAAACAGCCTCGTGTAACGTGTTTTGCTCACCTGGCAACGCGCCGTCACATACCAGGTGTCCCCGCACCCACGTCCACGCCCACTGGGACTAGCACGTTCATATTATCGGAATGTTGGGAGAGGTAGAAGGATTGTGTGTTGCTTTCCTCACCATCTCATCGGCTATGACGCGACGACAGGAACCCGTGGACTGACGATATAGACAAAAGCTGGCCTTCTCCTAGTTCTATCCGTTCGGCTACCTGCCCTGCCCTGCCCTGCCCTCCCCTTTGTTTACTTTCCCCCCCGAAAAGCACATGCGGTGGAGATCCGGACTGGAACGGGAAGAATCACGGACAGACACTGGTCAAGGGAGGTTTTTGTTGTTGCATCTTCTGATGGACGGACATCAATCAAGGTTTTGCACAACTGAAAATGTTCCTCCATAGGTACCTTATCACCTGGGTCTTTCCCAAATCGTCTTTTTTTTTTGTTTCCCTTTCCTTTCTTTTCCTAGTACAGGTTACGATTTCTTTCTTTCTTTCTTTCTTTCTTTTCCTCGTTTCGGAAATCATCTCCCGAATTTAAGGTACCAGCCTTTCTGCTTCATCCTTCTTCTTCTTTACGGTCCATTCCGTTACATACTTCCGTGCTACTTCCCCTTCCCCCGCTTTCCAGTGACAGTGTCATCTCCCACCATCCTATACTTAATCCTACCTACACCTTAATCCTACCTAGACCTTAATCCTACCTACACCTTAATCTTCCCGCCCCATCAAGCAAAGGAACCCTAAACAGTCCAAACGGCTTCCTCCTCTGATCCCCCTGATTCTGATTCTGATTCTGATTATCGTCACCTTCCCCCCTTGGCGACATAGGCGACCACATCCCCCCAGCCAAATGTAACTGATTACTCGTAAAATACACCCACCCATCTTCCCCCACACTCAACGTATCAACCCACCCAATCCTCGGATCTCTTACAACCGTCTGCGTCATGCCCGTTTTGGGGTTATACGCCACCACTGCGTTTGCCTCCTGGTTCCCTTTATACACCAAACCATTGGAGTCAGTTTCTAGACCATCTGCGGGGCCGGTCTGGCCGTGGTTTTTCACTGCCTTGAATAAATCCTCGTCGGCGGCGGCGTTGTCGCGCGCTCGAAGAAGGACTGTGGGCACGCTGTAAAGGGTGCGGCTGGCTAGCGGCATGTAATACAGCGTTTCGCCGTCGGGTGAGATGGCGATGCCGTCTGCGCCCATGGCGATGTGGCCTGGGGGTTTTGTCGTGGATAAGTTGCCACTGGGGGAATGCCCGGGGTCAGAGACGTAGTAGAGGGGACGACCCCATACGAACGGCAGGAATTGGCCTTCTGGCAGGACGGACGGGTGGCGATGTAATTTCCGCCAGGATTCACCGGCGCCAATGTCCACGACGATGACCCCGTTGTGGCCGGTGGACGAGGAGTCGGTGATGTACGCTATGCCTTCGCCTGACGAAGTGATGTGGGGGCGCAGGTCAAAGCGGACGTCGTTGAGGTAGGTGTCGCTCGGCAGAGCGACTTCGGGAGAGAAAGGGATGGTTTTGAACACCTTGTTGGTGGTGAGGTCGACGCCGACGAGTTTGGGGCCGCCGTAGCTGGAGGGGAGCAGGATGACGGAGCCGTTGGGGAAGGTGTACATTGGTCTTCCCGTGTCGAGGATCCAGAGCCGGTCTTTGGGGTCGACGACTACGCTTTGTACGGCGATCAGGTGGTCTGCACTTCCGCATCCGACGGGGTGGTCGGGGTCTGTCAGGTCTACTGCACCGATGGAGCAGGGAGGGGTGTTCATCTCCTCGGACGGGTACGCCTTCTCGACGGTGCGGGAGACGAGTTCGCCCACGGTGAAGATTCCGGGAGTGCCGTGGTTGACGTTGGCTGGGTCTAGACCGCCGGGGAAGTTGGAGAAGAGGCGGCCAGAGGCAGAAACGGCGATGCCGGTGGGCCATTGGCGGTAATAGGCGTGCACGACATCGAGAGGATGACCGGAGACGCCGGGGTCGGTAGGGAATGTGTACACGAGACTATCTGAGTTATTGCCATGTTCACCAGTGTTGGCTGCCAGTGCTGTCCCCTGTAACAGGAGGAGGGAAGTGAGGGTGGAGAGACTGAGGCGGGCCATATTGACTTGTATCGGTCCAACACGAGCGAGGTTTGGTTGAGAGGGGGGATTTCTATGTGAAATTCGACATTGGCTATGCAGCGATCTTTATATCTGGTGTTTTGCACCGCATTCCTGACAGGGATTTTGACTGGTCCCGGAAAAAGGAAATGGTTGACATCATCGAGTGATCATAGAACGGACTGCGGACCGAGCCGTGAATGGTCTCTTGTCTGTACAGCACAGTTTTGAAAAGTCCGAACTCCAGATGCATTTCTCACAGAATCTTGGATGGGGGAACACCGTTGATGCCTAGACATAAGACGCCGACAGAATGGGCATACGTTGAGGTTTCTTATGTGGTTATGCCGACCTGCGTGATGCCTCATGCAGGTAATCAACTTCTGCGGGCAAAGCACCAAGACCAACACTACCGGTTGCTGCAAGATTTGGGGAAACGATAGGAACTGTCAACTGTCAACCTCCCCAGCGGGTACCACAGCCACAACCAAGATTCCTGCCTCGCAGGTATGCTCCTCAGTACTCGTGCCGTCCAGTTTGCCGCGGGTCGACGCCGTTGCTGCGCTTACCGAGACCTGGGCCCAGTTGACCATAGTGTAAAAGACTGGGCATTGCAGAATGCAGTTTCTCATGAAGGTAATTGATAGGTATGGGTAGATAAATGGCTGCCGGTCGTATTTTCGAAGAATGGGGGGTTTAAAGATGTATCAATGTAGTGGCATTTGTCATGGACGGACGGAAGGAAGGTGCGTGTAGAAGAAATTGTTGGTTTTGCAAAATGCAATGCATGCAAAAAGACACATGAAGGAAAGAAATGAAGCCCTGAGTAGACGTCTCGGCCTAACTTTGGAAGAAACCATCTGCTCGGTCTTTCGAAACACAACTCAACCGAACTGAACCCAACTGCCTGCCAAGAAAAAGAACTCCCTCGAGCTCCTGTCACGCATTGTGAGACCTCAATCCTCTCAATACTCACCCCAGCGCAACCAACACTCTCTTCACATAGACGCTCTTCCACGCCTCCTTCTTGATCTCCGCCAAATTGACCCGAGATATCTCACGTCCTTATTTCCTTTCCGGTGCCTCTCCGTACCTGCATCACCAACTTCTCTGGGTCGCAGAAAGGAAGATAGTTGTTCGCAAGACGGATGAACTCGCATTTTCCGTCACCGTGTTCGTCAAGGCCAATATCCTTGGCTTCAGGATCACAGGGATGCGTCTTCCCCACCACATCTCCTTCATCATTGATAATGTCTCGATAATACTTGGTGTACTCCTTCACATGCAATGGATTGTCTTGCAAGACCGACGGTCCCTGCACTTTGAGGTTTGAGAGCTTGAAGCGCGCTGACTCGGTCCAAAAGAAGATGAGTTGATCATCTGGTGTGTCGAGCAGAACTTCGGGGGTCAAAGATGGGAGGTTGTCGTAGATATCTTCTAGAGTGACCGAGTACTTGCTGTCGGTAATGTTGGGAATGGCCCAGGAATTGGCTCGCTCGGGGTCATTGTCGACTGAAACTCGTCGCACCGAAATAACGCGCAGTGGGTGATTGCGGAGAACGAAACAAACCACCTTCGGGTTGAAGTCCCTCTCGGGCTCGAGGGCCTGTACTTTGAGAATGACTGCTCCGGACCATCCCAGCCACGACCAACTTGGTAGGGGAACATGTCGCTTGAAGCTGGTCATCTCCAGCGTAGTTAGCTCCGTTCTCCTTGTGAGACCTCGCCGGTAAGGTTCCCAGCAGAGACAAAGCTCGAATCGGCCGCTAGGCATGCCCCAGAGAAAGTTCTCTCCAGTCGTTCTGCGGACTTGTTCCACCACCGCACTAAAGGCATCGTGCGCATCGCCTTGGTATTTCAGATTGCGGCCGGAGTAGTCCTGGACCAAGCGTTGGAACTTGTACCAGACTTGCTCTTCGGGGATGTCTTCGGTATACCACGTTCGCTCGGAGGAGTTGAGGATGGGGTCAGATTCTTGAAGGCCGAACCACGCTAGGGTGCCGAGGGTATCGGTCTCGCAGCAGGATTCCTCCGAGTAGTGAGAGCGTGAGCAGGACCAGAGGACGTGGTTCTTCATGATGACAATGGCACGTCGGGAGAGGGCCCGTTCTTGGAGTGTCCACCCGCGAGAGGCCCAGACGGTCTTGCGGGTTGGGTGTTCATGGGACTGATGAGTAGGAGAGAGAGCAGTAATGAGGGACATTCCGGCTTGGTTGTCTGACGGGGCGATGACCGGGACTACCTCTTGGGCTGCATCACGGGGGGTGCGGATGCCGGGAAGACCAAAGTTGGCGTCGTCACCCGCCGCCGCAATAATGGTGAACAAAGAGTGGGCGTACACATTGGCCATGTTGCCAAGTTGCATGACCTTATCATCGTCGGAGTCTTGGATGATGCACAGGGCGTCGACCCAGAGGTATTTAAGGCCCAGTTGTTCGGTCAGGTGAATGGCGTCCGAGATGGTCTGGGAGACTTTCCCGACGAGAGAGTTGGGCCGTTGAAGCTCGTACTCGTTCTTCATTTCGAGGACTAGTTTCTGTGGGGTGACACCCCAGACATAACTGAGTGAAGCAAACCTCAGGCCGGACATGTCGACGTCGTAGAGGTTGTACTTGGTGACGATGCACTTCTTCTTGACGTCAATGAGGCGGAAAAGGGAAATTGGTTTGCTACGGTTGTTAGCATTCATCAATCATCCTCTGAACACAGGGAGGGAACACCCACCTCAAGCGTCTCATGTGTTCAACCAAGTCCGGGTCATCATCCTCATCCACCTCCTCACTGATCCCGCATCTGTCCCTGTGGTTCTCCAAGCACTCGCCGAGCCATTGCTTGATCAAGCCAATGTCAATCATCTCAGGTCTCTTCCTTCCTGCAAACCAAACCGTCTCTGGGTCCTCCTCGTCTCCCATCAGCACCCCTTTTCTGTCCTCGGCTCCATCCCCAAAGCCCTGAGGGATTGCGGTGTTCATGGTCTGGAAACTGTCCATCATGGAAAACCAGCTTTCGATCTTCTTCGCCATTCCAGGCTCTTCCACATCCTCGTCTTTGTCGGCCGGTCGGAACAGCAGCCCCAATCGTCTGAGGAAGAAGCAGTCCCTTTCTTTCAGCCCGCCGTATTTGTCATCATGTTCTAACCAAGATGTCCCTTCGGGCGCCGACAACCTTCCACAAAGGGCTACCGTGCCCAAGACCAATGGATCTTTTACGCCCATATCGGCAAGTGTGACGAGGGCATGTGGCTGTTGGTCTAGGACGGTGCTAATAGCGTGGCAAAGATCGCAGGAGGAGGAAGATTTGCGGATGCGGGAGAGAAGGCCTAGAGTCCATGTTGGCTCAACTTTGGCATATGGGTTGCGCTTGAAGGGACTGAGGTCTTGGGGTGCTGGGTGGCCATCGTTCAGAGACCAGAGATCAGTGGTTGTGGGATAACGGAGCAAAGAGAAGTCAATGAGGGAGCAAAATGAGCAGAGGCTGGGCTGCTTGTTAGACACCGCGGTGGTGGTTGTGGGCGAGGCCAAGGGAATGGCTGTGACGGTTACCGATGAAGTCTTGTCGGACGGCCGTGCCAGGTGTTCAGGGAGGGATATCGAGATTGGTGGCATCTTGGGATGCTGGTGTACTGTGATTCCGTGCAATGTGTTTGAGATGCAAAGGGTATGGAAGGCAAGATTGATGTAGATGAAGATGCAAAGTGTCAAAACAGCAAATACCATCAGATGCTAGAGGAAGGTAAGTATTTTACACCTTTCCATTGACCTTCAGCTGAAAGGCATTGTGACACCCTTTTTGGGCACGCACTTGCACCGCCCAATGCCGTTCCTGCGGTTGGTTCTCTTTTCAGTAGGATTGCCGCCATGATTGACCTCAAACGTTTTTCCTTGCGCGCTTAGGCAAGGTGTCGGAGGTCACTCCTCACGAATCTTATGTCCGAGTGATCGTGTAGCTGTTTCTCGTAAGACTGGAGTATCGACGCAAGATTAGTGACGCTTTGGCTGGAGATGATCTGCGAGGGTACGTCAAGCTCAACAAGCGCCCAGTAAAGTATTGGGTGCAATATCGATCGAAGGGTGTAGCACCTGTGACAGTGACAGTGTCGGTGCTGTCCCAAGACGTTCGGGGTTGAGCACCTCAGTGGCGCGGACGAACCAGAGGGAATCCCAGTACACCCTTATATCCGGCTCCCTCGACGCGTGGGTAGCATGGCAAGCCTAGCTCTTCGCTTGGAATCGCATCGTCAACATCTCATGCAAGGTTCCGGTCGAAGGCCGGTTATGGTGCAAGGATGAAGTCTGAGCATGCTTCTCTCCCTGTCCACCTGTTGAGACTTCTCATTCTCGACTTTCCGAATGCTTGAGATGGTAGAAAAAGAAATGGGAAAGGAATCACAAATGGTCGTCATGATCACAAGAGTTTGAGCTTTCAGCCCCCGCAGTTCATCACTTCCCAGCCTGCTCCGAGGACTCCGACAAATCTGACCAAAGCCACCCAACCTTTCTGTAGGAAGTCAGCAGGGCTATCACACCCCCGCGTTTTGGTCGCCCCAGGTTGTCAGCAGTAACCGTTTCAAGGCCAAGCCACTGCAAAATGGTTCAATCAGCGTCTCGGGTCCAACTAGAATACAATAAGGCTGTGACGGGTCGCGGGCGTGGTGCCCCCAGGACGATGACACAAATGGGGCCGTGGAAGCTTGTGCGAGTGAGGGAAATGGGGCTGTGACACAGTGACTTGCAGGACAAGGATCGCTTGGATGTAACGCTACGAGCCCCGGGAATAATGATCGTACCAGGCGCGCTACGGCGTAGTTGTGGGGATCGGCAGCGGAAAGGCCTAGACTGAAATGGAGTCTTCAGCTCCAGGCACCGATTTAAAGAGATTGGGTTGCTGACGGTGACACGGAGCCTTGTTATCTCCAAACCTCAAGAAGGTACGCTTTGAACAAGAAAAGCTTATTAGGTTTCTTGGGCCAGTAAAGAATGGTTTATGACCAGGAGAAACTCTCCACCTTCGCGGTCATTTGGCTCCTACGGTCGTGAATCCATCGCCTTCGTCACGATGGACGGAAGCGATGTAGCCCCCAAGGCGCCTGTGCCCGTGGTGTATCAACAAGTGCGTTCGCTTTCCCTTTTATCCCTTCAAACGGGACTTGACTGACGGCAAATTGGTAGAACTCGGGTCAGCGGCTGGGCGAGAAGAGCCACGCACCCTTCGAGAGCGAATCATTCCCAGAGACCGGCTCTCAGGAGACGTACAGTGACCTCTTTCCGGCCCATGGTCGGTGCGGTGACGACTTGCATTCCCTCTACGACGGCCCTACCACTTCCACTCGCCCTGGCATATCGCCTACAGGACCTCCCAGCTTCGACTTTGAATCTTTCCTTGCCACCGAGTTTGATCTTTCCAAAATCCATGCCATCAAGCACCGGCTCTGGTTAGCTGGCCGTCCTGTCCCTCCTCGCTCCTTGCAAACTCAGATTACGCAGGGGAGAGAAGTGATTGTGAGTGAAAAGCTGGAGTTCCATCTGGTTTGGGGAAGGGGCAAGGTATACCTAAAGCCTTTGGCTAAGTATTTGTTATGCCGGCAATTTTGGGACGAGGAGATGGCGTGTCGCAGTGAAGCAAATTGTCAGGGAGGGCGGAAGAAGGGGAACGGGCTGGATGGAGTTGCTAGTGGTTTGGATCATGGGGCTGAGGGAACTGGGAATGACCACGGTGAAAGGGACGTGATGGTGTCGACGAGTGCCAAGGAGGAGCTTGCGAAGAAGACCAACAAAAAGGATGGTTCCGAGCTCCTTTGCAAACGGTGCGAAGCCCGACAGGCGGCGTTGGGGCTGTTGTACTCGTATGTAGCCCTGGTCCAGCGTGAGAGCGACTTGGAGACGGCGAAGGAGATGGGTCTGATCCCAAAGGCCATCAGCTGGCCGAAGTGGCGCTTGTTTGTTCACGAGTTTCTCGACCCGCAGTCCCGTTACCAGCCGATCCACCACAATATCGCAGTCCGCTTCATCTACGGCGAACTTCGTCTCAACCGGCTCGACATGATCTACCTGCTCACCAAGCCGCTGACCCTGGGATTTATGCCGTTGTGGACGTCGTACGGCGACTTTGTGGTGAACAATTCGAGCTGGATTATCGGCGGGACGGCGTGGATCGTGGTGCTGTTGTCGGCAATGCAGGTGGCATTGGGGACTGACATGGGTTCCGGGGAAAAGAACGCACCATTGCACAGGGCGAGTTACGGATTCGCCATCTTCTCGATGCTGGGCCCGCTTGCCGCGTTTGCGTTGTTGTTTATGTACATGGTGCTGATACTGATCTGGAACTTGGTAAGAACAAGGAATTATGAGAGGAAGAGGAGCAAGGCATTGAAGAGGGGATGGAGTGACATGCACAAATCCAAGGAGGAGAGTTCAAGGCGCAGAAAAGTGTCGCCGGTTTGAGGAGATGGCTGTGACTGGGATGGTGCCAATTGGGTCTTGGAGTAGCGTGGTTTTCTGGGATAATGGCGTGAAATTTGGAGTTCTATGGTAAAGAAGCCGAAGAAGGCAAGTTTGACGGTGAGATGCCGTGAAATCTGGTGATATTGCGGAAAAGAAAGGGTTTCAGATGGCTCCCATCATCCACCGTGAGCCAGGTGCATGTCTTTCCACGGCCTGATTGCTCCTTCCACAAGGCCGCAAACCTGTCAAAATGAGCGGAGATTGAGATGCATGTTGAAATTGAGCCGCAGATAACGCGTCCCTTGAGGCAAGAACGATGGGAAAGAGTGGAGGTGGTTGGTTGGGGAGAACTTCGTGCTCATGCCTTCAACCTGTTGCTCCTTCTCCAACCTGCATCGACGAACTGACTGCTTGGCCAATGGCGGAGCGAAATTGGAAATCGGCTCTCAGTAACAAATGCAGTAGATCTCGAAGAAGAAGGGGCGATGGAAGAAGAAAGTGATGAGACGAGGTGAGAGTGCAGCCCTAACCATCAAGGTCCTCACGAGCAATGGCACGGACAGAGAACATCGGCGACATGGGCAAGCGCCGGATGTTCGTCCTGAAGATCCGACTTGGCGAGGATCAGAGTTGGCCGAAATAGGTAGTGCACAAAGTAGATCCGAGGTTGATTTGGTATGGACATTCGATTTGGTACACGCACTGTATACAGTAGGTAGGTTCGAATGGTGATGGCCGTTGCTGTGTTTCATGAGTGTGGTGTGTGCAAATGTTTTTGAGGGGAAAACCCCAAGAGGAAAGAGTACCCGCGTTGGACCCTAACCCTCCTTCTTGTTGACATGGTCGTCAAAAACATCAAGTATTGACATGCCGAGTGGACACATTTCTGGAGCCCGCTTCTAGAACTCCGAATGCCGCAAACGTGGATCCCATGAGTCATAAAAACCCGCCACGCGTTCAATGAAAGAAGAAGGGTTCCATATTTGGAAGCTATTGAACTGAAAGTTAGTTTATATTTCACTGAATTGACATCTGTTCAAACCTCACCACCACACCTCAACATCACCACCACCCATCCACATTTCAACAATGCCCGCCACCACCAACGACCACATCCTCACGCTGTCATGCCCTGACAAGCCGGGCATCGTCCACGCTGTCACTGGCGTGTTCGCCCAGAAGGGCCACAACATTCTCGACCTCCAGCAGTTTTCCGACCCCGTGTCCGAAAAATTCTTCATGCGCGTGCACTTTGGCCCTACGCCGACCCCCAGCACCGAGCACCTGATGGAGCCCTTCAACAAGCTCGCGGCCGAGTACCAGATGGAGTACAAGATCCGGCCCGTCTCGCAGAAAACCCGCGTCTTGATCATGGTGTCCAAGATCGGCCACTGCCTCAACGACCTCCTCTTCCGCGCCAAGACCGGCCAGCTCCCCATCGACATCCCCCTCATCGTGTCCAACCACCCTACCTTTGAGCCGCTCGCCCAGTCCTACGGCATCGAGTTCCACCACTTGCCTGTCACCAAGGAGACCAAGGCCCAGCAGGAGGGTCAGATCTTGGAGTTGGCCAAGCAGCACGGTATCGAGCTCATCGTTCTCGCGCGCTACATGCAGGTTCTCTCGCCAACCCTCTGCGAGGCCATGTCTGGACGCATCATCAACATCCACCACTCGTTCTTGCCGTCTTTCAAGGGCGCCAAGCCTTACCATCAGGCGTACGACAGAGGTGTCAAGATTATTGGTGCCACTGCTCACTTTGTTACTGCGGATCTGGATGAGGGCCCCATCATCGAGCAGAGGGTTGCCAGAGTCGATCACAGCATGGGACCTAATGTGTTGGTGGATGAGGGCTCGAACGTGGAGAGCCAGGTGTTGGCGGCGGCAGTCAAGTGGTATGCTGAGCAGAGGCTGTTCCTCAACAACGGCAAGACTGTTGTCTTCTCTTAGGCGCCTGGAACATGGTGCTGGGAGATGATGGGAGGGGGGATGTGGTTCGGTGAAAGTGGTAAAGCGGAGGTGTGAAAAGTTACAAAGGATCGGTTATACACTTGCGTTGTACATATTGATGATAATGAATACCAGTACATACATCTTCTATGCTTTTCATGAAGTCTCATTCTTGTGGTGGTCCAGGGTAAGTTAAGTGCCAGATCTGGCCATATTTTACAGACGGAGAGGAATATTGAAGCTAGCCATCAGATGTTTCCTCAGTTGACCGCTCATGCTGAAACGGACGCTCTGTCTACACTGTGGTGCAACAGTTTCTTCACATCGCTTGGGTTTGATGATAACGTACCTTTTGAAGCTCAGTTGTAGATACAGCAACTGTCAAGAGTCAGTCGACTTGATTTCGGGACCGACCCGTGCACGCCCCAGCCAGCGTACCTGCCTCACAATCCACCGTTATCAGAGATTGTGAGACCACATTTTGAGACACTAGACAGGCAGAAGGCACTCACATTCTGTTGAGCAAGAGCTCATCACGAACGATAAGAGCCTACTAAGCGATAGAAGGAAGAAAGCCAGCAGTGGAAATGAAGGAACAAGCTTTCCCATTGGGAAGCAGGGGAGTGACTAGAGCTGGGCTGGCCACGAAAATTCTTGGGGAAAAAAAGGTCTCCACAGCACAGCTTTTGGAGAAGTTCTCTCTCTTAATCCCATTCGACTCTTAGACTCTGCCCAATCAATTGCTTAAACTTCCATTCCGCTTTGATTGTGGAAGCCGGAGTCGACGTCAAGATCTGATATACTTCCTTATCGATAAGAGACGCCGACGCAGCGCCGAAAGACAGTGCATGGAACCCCTGGAATTACAGGGCTTGTTTCATGGTTTCGGGGTTTCATGGCGGGGGAGGGCCCCGATGTTGGAGTCCAATCAGTGACATCACGACCCAAACCCCACTGAAGAGAGAAAGATGGAGTAATCGGACCTGAACTGATTGGCTAATTCTTGGCCGGTGATCATCAATCCAAGTTTCAATCCCATTCATTCGTCTTCACTTTTTCTCCATTTTCTCTCCAACAAATTCGAGTTTCTCTCAAATGGACGCCCACGTTTCACAACATCGTAGTTCCGCTCGGAGCTAGCAATATCGTCGTGTCACCATAACCTTCAATTGACGCTCCTTCCCTTTCTCTCCTCGTCTCTCTTCCCGACATTGACCACGCGACCGCTTCAATTCGACAAACATCGCCGTCAATCAAAGGCGGACGACGACATCGGACCATACACACGACCGCACCGACATCAATTCCGATTCGTCGGCCGATCACATCACATCGTCCAATCTCGATACTCTAACCAGACCGCACACGCCGTGGTTGCGACCGTTGCGGTTGTACATATCCCGACCACTTACTTCTCTACCTGAATTCCACAAGTGTCGTCTTGCATCGCATATCCCGTCGTCTGTGTCCATCAACGGTAGCGATTGAATTCGGACGTCATGGTCCAACCAACGTCCGCCGCCAACACGGCCGTCGGCGCATCCTCTTCCTCATCGCGACCCCATACACCGCGAACTTCTCAAACCCGTCGCGCTCCCCGACCACAGCGAACTACCTCGTCCGGTTCATTCCACGCTGGCGCTCCGTTCCCCCAGTTCAACACCCCCTACGATGACCCTCGTCACGCATCCGACAACTCTCGAAGAACCTCGGTTGCCTCGTTACGTCCCATGCGACGGCAGTCCACCCACAAATACCACACCTTTCCAACCCAACCGCCCAAGACTCCCTCTTCACCACCGAGAAACGACCCATGGAGCGCATATGCCCAACAACGACACGGTGGTGGCGATGACGATGGAAGCACATCGGGTACATCACAAGGAGAAGGCGACGCCGCCACACCGCTGCCATGGAAACAACTGGGCCTCCTAGCCTTGTTGTCCTTGGCCGAACAGACAGCGCTCAACTCCATTAGTCCATACCTGCCGACCATGGTGGCTTCTTTTGACGAGATTCCCGATGGTGACGAAGGATTATACGTTGGTCTTTTGGCGTCTGCATTCGCTCTTGCCCAACTGGTGACGAACCTGTTCTGGGGCTACCTCTCGGATCGCATCGGTCGCAAACCGGTTATGCTGGTCGGCACCCTTCTGCTGATGGGCTGCTTTGTGTTCTTTGGGTTCTGCAAGACATACGTCCAGCTGATTCTGGTGCATATTGCTATGGGATTGCTCAATGGAAATGCCGCTGTGGTGCCAACGGCGCTGGGAGAGGTCACAGATCGCACAAATCAGAGCAGAGCCTTCACTTGGCTTCCAGTCATGTACAGCCTCGGCAGCATCACAGGTCCTGCTCTTGGTGGTCTGCTGGTTGGCACCGTTGGGGCCGACAAGTACCCATTCCTTGGCCCTAACCTTCTAAGCGCAGGCTTCCTGTTCCTCGCCGTCGTCGTTCTCACCATCTGGTTCCGGGAGACATTGGAGAAGGACGAGGAGGAAGACGCCAGCGACTACACCACCATGTTCAACAAGGCTCGCATCCTCTTCGCCGGCTGCTTGGGCAGATCTAAGAATTCCAACAACAGCAACGAGGACGAAGCCCTCCTCGGCCAGGAAAACGACGACGCCACAAGCGCCAAGGACGTCGCCTCAGACCAAAAGTCCGCTTTCCGCCAACTTGCCAACCGCACAACTCTAATCTTGTTGTGTACCTACCTCGTCTTCCAACTAACCAACATCTCCTTCAACTCACTTTACCCCATTTTTGCCTCCGCCCCGCCACCCAACGGCCGTAACTTGGGTCCCAGCATCATTGGAATCAGCCTGTCCTTGGCAGGTTTGGCTACCATCGTTTTCCAGGCCTTCGTTTTTCAACCGCTCAAGGCACGCGTGGGAAACATGGGTACTTACAGATACTCCCTTCTGGGAATGGCCATTGCCATGGCGCTCATGCCCTGGATAGGCTACGTCGACCAGAAGAAGACGTGGTTCGGGATTGGGTCTGGCAAGGGTTGGTTGTACGGCGAGCTGGGAGTCATTCTGTTACTCAAGAATATTTGTGCAATTGGTGGCTTGAGCAGCGTGATGCTTTTGGTACGTTTACCCTCTCTCTCTCCTTTCTGTTTTTTCTCCCAGTGGGTACTAACACATGCCAATCGCAGATTACAAACTCTGCCCCATCCCACGAGTCCCTCGGCACCCTCAATGGCATTGCGCAAACTCTATCCGCTGCTGGTCGTAGCGTAGGCCCCTTCATCTCCGGCGGACTTTTCACCCTGACGAATCATGTCCAGCCCAAGGGAGAGGCGATCGCCTGGGGCGTCTTTGCTGGTATTGCTCTTCTTGGGTGGTTGGGCACGCTAATGATCCGCGGAAACGGACTTGAGAGCGCCGACTGGCAAGGTGAGGAGGATGAGGAGGATAACGACGAGGAGGCCGCCACTGATTCGGCCCGGTGACCGGTAATACACGATCACGATGATGGAAGATGCACGAAGGACTGATGGCAGAGTAGACGATACGACAGGACGATATACGACCAACGACTCGATGACACGATCAACGCTAGAAGATGGGCCCGCCGATTGACGAAAAAGCAGGGCCTGATAACGATTTCCTTTCTTCCTTTGGGTATAACGAGCATTATGCGACCAGCGGTACTGAATCGATTTGTTTCATCACATGTCTTCCATCTGTCCTTTTGTTCCTAGTGCTTGCCTGATTGTAATGTCGGTCCGGAGTTCTTCATCGCAGCTGCGTTCACACCAAACAATTCCGTATGTTGGAGGTTACCAATGTTCCAGGCAACAACATGACAGTAATACCAATGGCGATGCTTTCGTCGTGGAACCACCGGCCAATATTGCCGCCTCGAACGTGTTGTCTTTACACAGTCCTCCGCGATGTTACACAAGGCATTGGTCGCGGTCGGATGACTCAGGACAGTCGGCAACCAACACCAGACAAGTCGACGATATATCGTGCGCTGCCTCGAGGTTTCTCTTGAAGAGTCGGAACACTCCGAACGGCTCCCTCTTAACGGCCCACTCCGGTTTCGATTTGCCGATTTGTGCCGGTGATCGACTATGGTCAACACTCATCGCCGGACATTGGGAGATACCCGCTCGGGGAATGTCAAGCCGAAACGCTTTCCATCTCACACTCATTTTCGAGGCCGGTCAGCCCTACCGGAGCAAAAGCCATTGCCGAGACGAAAACTTTTGCGGGGTGTCACAAAGTTGGAAAAAGCTCCGAAAGATGGGCAAGGTACATCACACGAAAGACATCGAATATCGTGGGGTTGGCCAATCCAAAGCTGCATCGGTTGTGCACGACATACCTCAGCCGGACAAGGTTCTGTCACGAGCGGGACAAACTGATGTCATTTCCCACGGTTCAACCGTTCCGGCTTCAGCCCTATCTCATACTCTACACATCACTGCCCGATGCAGAGTTCTTCTCACGGTCTGACCCGCGTTCTCTGCCGAACCCGCGCCGTCCCCAGACTGTTGGGTGTTGTGCACACCATCCGTTATGCAAATCGTTCATGCACACTGCTTGGTCATCTTGCTCCCCTTCAAGGGACACTGAAGATATAATTACTCGGGAGGCCTTCACGATTCCAAAGCTTCTTGCAGATGCTGGCGACTCTTGTAATGAGCGGACACAACCAGACCATGGCTCCTTGGACTTGAGCTTACGATGAAATTAGCCAAACTCACGTCGCCAGAACACAGGTGTTATACCACGAAAACACATAGGAGAACGTCGTCCCCAATATCCCACTCCGTCTGTGAAGCATACCGATCCTCATCTCAACACCTAGGACTATTCTGAGCTTCAATCTCGCCAGTGTGTCGACATTGGCCCTGCTGCTTACCTCTCTTACCTATACCCCATCCAAAGACGACCAAGTACCCCTGACCGCCAATTGGCTAAGTAATCGGCCGCATCCCGCATCGCCCACCTTCCCGCAAAGTTTTGGCGAGAGGGCAAAGGAAAAGGAAAAGGTTATTGGTCCCATCGCATGGGAAGAATTCGGGTGCCTAAATAATCTCCGGTGCTTTCACATGCGTGTGGTAATCAAACAAATGTCTCCTGCCTTGCTTCGACGGTGGCTGCGGCTACTTCCTCTACCAAGTTAGGGGCTTTGTTCATACCACTGCTGTTCCAAGGTGGTACTTGGCGCTGGTCCTTATTCAGCAACATCACGACGACTGGCAAACCTAATAACGTCAGACATCACTGCCGAAGCTAGAGGCTCTTCATTCGCAATGCTTTCCAGCTCCGCCCCCAGACACATGACTCGTATCACAGAGACTTTTAGTTTGAGCGATGTATACGCTCACTACTCAACAATTTTCGCAGTTCAACAACTGTGGGGGCCTTGAGGCGAAAGCCACAATATGTGCTATGGTTGATGAGTAACAAGACTGAATATCGTCGGACGGGGTGCCCAGTGAACGACTAAATCAACCCACAAGTCACTTGACAGGTACTGGGTCATCGCCGGTTGTTGACCGCCTTGATCAATGGTCCAAGACGTCGAACAAATTTGCCAAGTATCACGAACTTGACTACCTCTAGTTCTACTCGCTATAGCCAAAGTCTCATTGGACCACCACACATGGTAGAACTGTTGGTCCAAGAACAGATCCAGGCACCCACATTTTCAAATCCCTGCCAGGTACGGCACAAACTGGGATTTGGACAGCGGGAGCCCATGTGCCACATCCTTGATCTACAATTCCTCGGCATCTGGGGTTGTATCTGATGAAGGAGGCTCTGCTCACGCCTCTTGCGTCCCACAGTCCCACAGTCCCACTTCCTTTGCGCATGGAATATTCCCCAGATTGGAACTACTGCCACCACTGCCATCAGGTACACCAGGGACCAAGACGGGGATAGGCCTGTTGTATAAGCAACAAGCAATACTGCTGAACTAAACGATGGCTCCTGTCAAGTGGAAGAGGGTGGCCAACCAGGTCTACGCATTGGAAGTGGACTCTTTGACGGGACGAAGCCAACTTCCGCGACGTGACATCGTTCATCTTCCTGTCATTGACCATTCCGAGTCTATGGATCCAACAACCCACACTGGAAAACCTTATGTCTTTGGGTTGTCCAAAGTCACCGGCATTAGGCATGATCATCCCGTCTACACCATCCTCGGCCCAAATCTCGGAGGGAAAAAGTGACCGGCACGGTCCCACTTCGTGGGTATGGCAAATCACAGAAACCTCCAACGGGACAAGTCGTCCATACAGCCATGTCTCCGATGAAGGATACAGGTCAGCGACATATGCTTTCCACTCGTCCATGTATATCATGTCACTTTTCTCTCCCATGTGCCCCACGAGACGGACGTCGGCACCACGGAATGATGGTGCCTGATCTATTTCTCCATCAATCGGGTCTCAGGTCGTTGCCTTGAGACCTTGTTGCTCCTTCCCGCTTACCGGCTGATAATGTGCCTTTCTTCACCTCCACCTTGGTTCCATACCTGTTCATTCTCATCGTTACATCTGCTAGTGTTTACACTGCCCTGTAGACCACTTGTCCAGTTCTTCGGGTCCATCCATGAGAAACCCCCACTCAATGTTGTGATGGGACTCGGCACAAACAGGTAGCCAAGGTGACATCAGAACTTGGACTGAAGAGGAAGTGGACTGCGCACGAACAACTAGTATCTGACACCGCCAAATGAATGCTACATTACCTTCAGCCCTATAGGGCGCTTGTCACTTCCCTCCAGATGACTGGTAACGATGCCGTCCTCGAGTGATGACGGGATGGCGCGGGATGGATCATCGGCTGGTCCGTCGTGCCATGTGGATTATTATGCCCGGTTTCAGCCCTACGGTACCCGCCGTACGTATCGGCTTGTGTGTGGCCGTGCTTGGAAGAAGGGTCAAGATTCAATGGCAAAGAAGACACTTTGATTGTCTAAAGTCTGGATAGATGCTGTCTGAGGCAGCATCATCGATGGACACTCGAACAAAAGTGGCATGGAGCTGGATTGGGTCCTGACTCAACATCATCATCACCGTCATCATTCACCCGGCAGCTGGTTGTTGAGCATATAGCAGAGCAGGCGGTGATGGCTTCTGGAGGTGGAGGTTCAACTCCTTGGGATGAATATAAGGAGATGAGAAGACCCGTTGGGATGGTGATGATGGAGACAAACAAGCAGCAAGCAGTTCGAGACTCAAAGCAACAGAGACTCAAGAGCATCGTCAACGTCAACTTCAAAGCTTTTTGCAAGACAGTCAACATCAGCAAAGACACTTTTCGTCTTTAACAGGAGTTTAACTCGTCATCTCAACCCGTCGTCAACAGGTCATCAACGGAACAAGAACCATGTCGTCCTCTAGGTCCAGTAGGTCCAGCCACAGCGGCAGCACTCGCTCAAGCGGTAGCCGTTCCACCACTAGCAGTCGTCCATCTCAGGTATGGCTTCCTTCCTCTTCCCAACATCCCACGGCGGCGAACCTCATCCCGTCTACCCTTTCCTCTTACCCCCCCTTCCCCCCCCTCTCCCCCCCCCTCCCAACCTTCACCCTTTTCTTTGAACCAGGACTAACCCCTTCTTCCCACAGCAATCCCTCACCCTCCTCACCCACCTCCAAACCAACCCACCAACCACTCTCTCCGCCCTCCTCCACCTCGAACGCACCATTACCGACCCCTCCCAAATTCCCTCCTCCGACGTCTCCCTTTTCCAAAGTCCCATGACCTCTGCCTTTGAGAATTACGTCGTCACCACGCAATCCCTTCTCGTCGAACTCCGCGGATTGACCACCAATTACCCTTTCTCCGCGCAAATCATCCCACTCGCTGTCCAGTTTGTCAGGGCAGACCCGGACAGCGACAGAAGTTGGAACTTGGCTTGGTTGGTGCTTAACAAGATTTTGAGCGAGGGATTGGTGGAGAGTGTGAGTTGGGAAGAGGCGGGTTGGGAGGGATATTGGGGGAATAGGCTGCCGAGTGAGGCTGAGAGGGGGATGTTGGCGGGGGAGATGGCACGGGAGTGGAAGGAGGCGGTGGAACGGTTGGTTGGGTGCTGGGGGGGGGAGGAGGCCGGAGTGGTATTAATCCGGCACATGCCGAGGGTGACCGGGTTCGGATCCGTGTCCGGGGCGGGTTCGGGTGAGGTGGGGACGGAACCGAATCCGGATCCGGATCCGGAAGTAGTGTGGGGTTGGACCGGAGCGGGCCGGGCGGGGTCGGTTGTCGATATTCGCCAATGAGCCGGGAAGGGAGCGAAAGTCGTTCATTACACCGGACCCCGGTACCAGTTCACTCTTTTGTGTCGGAGGAGCAAGCGGGTGTTTGTATAGTGTCACGGGGGTGTCTTGTTCTGGTGTTTCTGCCTTTCCTTTCGGTTTTCATATTTTCCTCTTTTTCTTTCCTTTTTCTTTTTAGGCGTTCCCTTCGTTTGTTTTGCTTTTCATTCATTTCACTCATGTAATCATGTAATCGCTCCTTCTTGTATTGCGTTTGATTCATCCTTCGTATCCTAGTTCTTGACGCTTCTTGCATCGTGGTAAGAACTTGTTTACTGGCACTGAAAGAAGGTGCGTTGATGCTGTGTCCACTGGCACTTGCGGCTGGCTTCTGCTTATACCTCTGTTGCCCCGTCTTGCTCCTGGCGATATCCTTGTTGTAACTGGCTTCAACTACCGATATCTTTCACGATTCACGTCATCGGGTTCTGGGTTCTCCACCCATACAGCCTCTTAACGGATCGAGGTCCATATTTGGATCGTTTGATAAGACGAGATGGGCAGGAAGGTTGAGGTGACAAGAGGAAGCAAGAAGGAAATTCCCCTTGCACTATCAAGCCAACTTTCAGACCCGTCTGGTCGGCACACTGGTCCATTCTGAGTTGCGTTGATGCCGATTGACCGAACGGGATCGCCCGCTTGTACTACCGACATCATCTTCTTCGAGCCTACTTACCCACAGACATCTCGATGGTCCAAACCGTTGGGCCTGTGGGGTCCCCACGAGATGCATGCACACAAAATTGGTCGTCCGAGACCGCAGTCAGAGCAGAAGGTTAAAATGTCCAGAGCAATGTCTGAGATAGTGGACCCAAGGTCCTATGGAGAGGTGGGATGCGGCTTACTGGCTGGAAACAAGTCTTAATAGAGTCGCACGGGAGGCCAATCCATTTACAACAAGACACCAGCCACATTTTGAGATCGAGCTTCTCGACCATTTTGGCGATTCAGCCAGCGGGATTCAACAAGATGCAAATCGGTATCTGGCAAAATCCTGTGGTAAAAGCTTCACTGTGGAAAACTGATATCAGAAGTTGGATGAAATCTCATCCCCCCTGCCCCCTTCGACACCATCAACACCGAGCCAGTCCGGCATCTTGTTCCATGTTCGTTCCTGGTGCTGGTTTCTGGGCGCGGGAGCACCATGTTACAGCTTGAACGCCACATTCAGAGCCCTGCAGATCGGGTTGATCAGCGCAAGATAAGAAACCTCGAATTCCCATAAGTCATGAGTTCTGATTGGTCAGTTCTCACCTCTATCAGTGTCGCGACAAGTGCAACCATTCGATAGTTCCCGGAGGACATAACGAGGGGAACCAATAGCGTTGACAGCCAAGTGCCGGACCGCCCACGCTCGGCGACGCTTTAAACCTTTGAGGGCTACGGTGCCAAGGGGCGGACTGATAAGATCCCAGAGGTGTAACTGAATGAAGCTTATCTCGATGTCCGATGTGGAACGTTCAACCAAACAACGAACGGAAAACCCCCGTACAAACACTCGAAGCCCACGATATCCCCGAAGCGATTGGCATTGTCGTTTTGATATTGGCGTTATGAATGGGGTAAACACATGGCTGGAGTGGGGAGAGCCAACGGTTGGAAGAGCCGAATGAGACCCCAAAAACACCAGAGACGACCAAATCGAGAGACGACATCGGAGGAGTTCGGGGTGTCCTGCACTCCTGTACTGATAAGACATGTGTTATGTACCTTTCTGCATTCTGCACCACGATAACACTCTCAACACCCTTTGGGGATGCTGCTGGGAGAAAAATAATGGGAACTACGTCCACACTGACTTGATGTTACAGCCCGCGACCGGAACGGGGGACCGGGGTAGCCTCCACGGTACCATAACCAGACTCCGTGGTGGTAGTTGTCACACAAGATCTTATCGGACAGTTGGATATCAGAGTCTGATAACCACCATGTTGGATCATATCGGATTGTCATTGCTTTCGTGGGATACAACTTATATATCTCAGCCGTATCCGACATCATGGCTCCAGGTTCTTTTGATGTCTCAAGCTTCGAAGCTCATTATACCTCTTGTCAAACAAAGTCCCCTAAACACCATCCACAATGGCGGGAGGTGGTGATACAACCGTCAAAGTAGACACACCTCACGCTCTCAACCAAGGAGTTGGCTATGGCATCGTCATTGGGCTGGGAGCATTGTTTGCTCTTGGTGAGTGTCTTCTCTATGCCTTTCGTTCACCCATGAATATCACTAACAGTATGCGTGCCAGGCATGATTCTAGTCACATTTATCCTCAAACGCTACAACCGCGAGCTCCAAACATCCGAAATGTTCAACACTGCCGGCCGCACCGTCAAATCCGGTCTCGTCGGTTCCGCCGTCGTCTCCTCCTGGACCTGGGCTGCCACCCTCCTCCAGTCTTCGGGTGTCTGCTACCGCTACGGCGTTTCCGGTCCATTGTGGTACGCCTCGGGCGCTACCGTACAAATCCTCCTCTTCGCGACCCTCGCCATCGAACTAAAACGCCGCGCTCCGAACGCTCACACCTTCCTCGAAGCCATCCGTGCCCGTTTCGGCACCATGCCTCACATTGTCTTCATGGTCTTTGGCCTGGTAACCAACATCCTCGTGTCCCTGATGCTCATCGTCGGCGGTTCGGCAACCATCAATGCCCTGACAGGCATGCACACCATCGCCGCCATCTATCTCCTCCCCGTCGGCGTGGTAGCTTACACCGTAGTCGGCGGTCTGAAAGCCACCATCCTAACAGACTGGGTGCACACCTTCATCTTGCTGATCATCATCATCGTCTTCGCCCTAACTGCCTACGCCAGCGGTGAAGCCTTGGGGTCGCCCAGCGAAGTCTATGACCTCCTTGTAAAAGCGGCACAGGCCCATCCCGTCGAAGGAAACCACGAGGGTTCCTACCTCACCATGCGCTCCCGCGAAGGCGCCATCTTCTTCGTGATCAACATCGTTGGTAACTTCGGCACCGTCTTCCTCGACAATGGGTACTACAACAAGGCCATCGCCGCCTCGCCCGTCCACGCTTTGCCCGGTTACATCTTAGGAGGCCTCTGCTGGTTCGCCATCCCCTGGCTTACCGCCACGACTATGGGTCTTTCCGGTCTGGCCCTCGAAAACAACCCCCGTTTTCCCACCTACCCCAACCGCATGCCCGAGGCCGACGTCTCAGCCGGTCTGGTTCTCCCCTACGCTGCCGTCGCTCTGCTAGGAAAAGGTGGCGCGGCAGCTACTCTGCTCATCGTCTTCATGGCCGTTACTTCTGCGACTTCCTCCCAGCTTATCGCCGTATCTTCCATCGTGGTGTACGACCTCTACAGAACGTACATTAAGCCCGAAGCCAGCGGTAAACGACTAATTTACATGTCGCACGTCGTCGTGGCCGCTTACGCGCTTTTCATCGCCACCTTCTCCGTCGGACTCTGGTACGCTGGCATTTCAATGGGGTATCTCTACGTGATGATGGGCGTCATTATTTCGTCGGCAGTGCTCCCAGCCGCATTAGTCCTAACCTGGTCCGGCCTGAATAAATGGGCTGCTGCCCTCAGCCCTGTCCTAGGATTGTGCGTAGCGCTGGTGGCGTGGTTAATCACTGCCAAGAAGGAGTGTGGCGAGATGAGCGTTGCTTGCACGGGGAGTAACATGCCAATGTTGGCGGGGAATGTGGCGGCGTTGTTGAGTCCTGTGGTGTTTATTCCTGTGTTGACGCTTATTTTTGGGAAAGCGAATTATGACTGGAAGAGCATGATGGAGATTAAGAGGGGGGATGATACTGATGTTGTTGCGGGAGAGGCGGGGGTGGATTTGGATTTGGAGGAGACGATGGGGGGTAGGGAGGAGACGGAGAGGGAGAGGGAGATGATGGAGGAGGAGCAAGGGAAGTTGAGCAGGGCGAGTAAGATAAGTAAGACGATGACTGCTGTTTTGGTAAGTTTCTTCTGGTTACCGTTCCCCTTTATGTTCCCCTCCCTCCCCATTTTTTCCGGGTTTCCCTCTCTTACCTAGTTACTAACACCACCCCTGTTACAGACCCTAGCCCTCCTAATCCTCTGGCCCATGCCCCTCTACGGAACCGGCTACATATTCTCCAAACCGTTCTTCACAGGGTGGGTGGTCGTCGGCATCATCTGGATTTTCTGCTCCTTCATTGGCGTCGGCCTGTTCCCCATCTACGAAGGGCGGGACACCCTGATTAGGACGTGCAAGTATATCTATTGGGATGTCACGGGCAAGAAGAATGTTAGGGCTATTCATGCTGAGCAGGCCATGGCTGCTCATACTGCTGGTGGTGTACTTGATGGGGAGGTGGTGGTTACGGAGGGGGTTACTGAGGGAGTGATGATGACGCCGGGGGATCAGACGCCTGAGGAGAAGAGTGTTAAGGGACTTGGGGAGAAGGGGGAGAAGGTGGGGATGGGGATGGGGGTTACTTCTTTGTGAGGCGATAGAGGGTGATGAGGGACGGAGTGGTGGGTGTTGGGTAACTGGATGCAGCAGTGGTTGGAAGGATACAGGAAGTGAGGGGGTGATGCGCTCATGAAAGTATTTCGGATGTCGTTTGCGAGGGAGCAGGGTGAAGAGAAAGGGATGATGTTAGCTTAGATTGGAGATACCCCTCGTTTGTTAATGATATTTTGCGATCAATCCCGTCCTTGTTTCATCTGTTGGGTTGTTACACCTTCATTTCCTCCATTTGTCCTCGCACCCCAAACACAGCACCCAAGCGCCTGCCTCCTTCGACAGCTTGCCATTCCATTCTCTCTTCCGCTTGGGAGGACATATCAACAACATCCACACGATGCTGTGCTCTTTCCTTTCATAATCGCCTTTGCCTCTTCGCCAAAACTCTACAAATAAAGAAGACGATGTCTCCTTCCAACAAGAAATGAGTAGGGCTCCTTTCGCTTCTCATCCAGTCGCCATATTTACCACGAACTCAATCACAAATACCGCCAACGGGCTGCCTACCCGTAGTCTGTACATGTCCGACAGGCTCGATTACCAATGCCAGGTTCAAGGACGAGCTCTCGTTCTACGCCCCGTCAGAGGCGGAGACCTCAATGGTCCCGGCCCATCATGTTTCAGTAACGAGAACCACCCCTCCCCTGGCCCTCCCCAATTGGGAATGGCCTTTTCTACCTACCTCGACGCGCTCGAGGCCAAGCCCCGCGTATCCACAATACTCAAAGATGTCGGAGACAGCATCGTGGCTGCCGATAATCGAGACGGTCCCAGCATAGAAACTCTACTATTCTCAGGCTCGGAACATCGGTTACTTCTACCCTGACGCACCTGAAAAGAAGTAGTATGGCCGAATGTTATACCTGACGGGTGTCTTGCTCTCCCTCCATGACTCTCTAGTCGATGAGTGGCAAGTCTGAGTCGTTTAGGGTAACCTCTGGCGCTCTGGGGTACCTATGACGGGCTCGTCGTGAGAAGTGACAGCGCTTTTGAAGGTTTGTGACGACGAAGCCTCGGAGGACTTCAGAATTGGGGATGGAGGATTGGGAAAGAATTTTGGCAATATGGCGAGAGAAGTTTGCTGGTTTGTGTGCCGTGGCCAGCCCTGATGGTGGAATGTCGAAACGCACTCTGCGAATATTGTCTCCTCCAACTGTCGGTGGAATGTCAGTAGCACCAAGGGAAACTCTGGAAGACATGAACATATTCGCGGGTGTGATTCGTACGATCACCGTGTCGCCGGTTCTTGACAGCTACATTGTTGCCATCCTGTCTGCTTCCAAACCCAGCAAGAAGCACGGCACCCAGACGAATGACAGCGCCAGAAGGAAGATGGAGAATGGATGAAGGCATTCAGATCCACATGTATGCAGACTACTAGATAGAGGCCTTGAAGCCCCAGGCAACAAGGCTTGATACGTACCTCAAGTACGTACCGATTCCCTTTGGCATAAGAAGGCCTGGAAGCCCAACCTTCTTCTGGAGGTTGAGAAGATCAACAAGGCCTTCGAGACCAAAGTAGTTTATCAGCGGAATTGAACTACTGTTCCAAGCCCAGAACACTGCCCTTGTCACAGTCGGTGTCTGATTCGGATCGTACTCTTCTGCAAACATTGCCAGTTTCTCGCTCAGTTCTGCAAACCAGTCCAGGACACGGTCCTGGTTCGTATCTGTCGGCCACCCGCGCCAACCACTACGGAATAGTGGTTCGCTGCCTTCCGTGCACTTGTTGAAGACGGCCTCTGATGCTGTCTTTAGACCCGCCACCCGACCGAAAAAGATGTGGAACTTAGGAAGGTCGATGTACATGGAGCCAAGCTCATCCTTGAGGACCACGTCCATATCTTTGCGGAGCTCGGAGGAGTTTGCGAAGCTGCTCGTGTTGATAGACCGCGGAGTTTGAAGAAGGTAAGATGCTATCGGTCGGGGAGGCGGGGTGGCTTCGGTAACGGCACAGTACACTTGGCGCCAGATCTCATTGTCGGGCTTATTGGCGAGGACTGCATTGAAAAGTGGTTCGAATTGGTCCGAGTCGAAGTTGTCCAAGTTGTCGGGGGTGAGGGCGGGTAGGCATCTCAACACATCGTCGAAAAGGTTGGCACGGCCCGTATTCGAACGTAGAGAATAGATAGCAGGGAGTATTTGGAGTGCCGACAGAAGCCTAAGCCCAAGAATCTGCAAAT